AAATGGGAGTTCAGACCAGATATGGGAGCAAGCTCTGGAGATGGAGGAGTGAGGAGACTGGGTTTGAGCACCTTCCTCAGAAGGTTATTTACTCCGAGTCTTCATTTTCTCATTGTGACATGCTTGTAATGACTGTAGCCCTTCCCAGCTCCCAGGTCATCATGAAGATCAGGGAGAAGGGCCTGCACAGCGCCCTGCACACTGTAGAGCTGCTGAGATGGGAAGGGAGAGAGTGAGGCAGTCACAGGTCTCCTGAGAGAGTCATGTTCCTCCTTGAAGATGGACCTGGTGGGCAGAGGAAGGACAGTTACTACACCACTGAGCCAGTAGCTCTGCTCTCAGCCTCTTTCAAGATGATGGCAGGTCACAGCAGGGAGGGGAGGGCCCAGCTCCCTGATTCAGAGAGCAGTGATGGAACAGAGAGGGCAGAGGCCCACAGTGCAGGATCCCAAGGGATCACTCTGGGACCCTAAGTTCTTTCTAAATCTGCTGTGGAGGGAGCTGGTTGGGTCCCCTCCACAGGGATGAATGAAATGTTCAGGCTTCCCAATTAGCTTATGAGAAAACTGTGCTTATCGTCTCCACACTCCTTCTAGAAGCCAGTGTGGACAGGAAGGGGGAGAGCTGGTGCGACAGTGGGCAGGGGGTCTGAGCAGAAGCAAGGATCATCCTTTACGGAGAAGAATCACAGGAGGGCATCAGGGGACTGCAAGGATGTATTTGCTTCCTGTAGAGGTCTCACTGACACTCTGGAGGAAGGACTGGAATGGGAGAGACGAGGCAGGGAGGCCAGCATGGGGAGAACGGGTCAGTCTGGGAAAGAGAAGATGGTGGCCTCAACTAGAGGAAGGACTGGGGACAGAGAGGGGTGGAGGCATTGAGAGCTCTGTTGGACGTAGATGGGATAGTCTCAGGGATCTGATCTGGCTCTGGAAGGTGACAGATGAAGGAGTCTAGTAGAACCCTACATTTCCCTCTTGAGTTCATGGAAAATGGTACCATTGCTCTGGATGGAAGAACAGGAGTGAGGTTTGAGGAACAGAAGATATTTTCCCCGAGACCCACACCCAGCACTATGTCAGATGTGCTGGAAGCACCCCGTAAATGTCTGCTGAGCTATGGAGCAGCGTGAACAGAGTAGAACAGAAAGACATGTAGACCAAGGAAATCAGGAGACAAAGAGGCAGCAACAGAAAACCAGAGACCACTATAACGTCAGAGCTATAAAGGACTCTATGCACAGACAGGACAGGACACAGGACACACACCACAGCTGAGACTACACAGCAAATTAGTGGGAGGGACTTAGGGTCTCCTAACCCCCAATCTGAGGCCCTCCTTCTTCTCTGTGACCCACCCAGCCCCTCACACGATGGCTCCCCAGACTTCCTCAAGTCTTACTCCAAATAACAAACATAAGCCAGTGGCAACAGGCTGCCAGGCCGTCTGTGTGACTACAGGATGAAGGGTGGGGCTACCTGGCAGCCACAAAGGAGGGAGTGATCTAGGACACTACGCTGCAAGGCCACTGCAGACAGCCTGGGCTGGCCTCCTTCCCTGCACTCACAACCCTGTGGCCAGCTCAGGAGGGCAGCCTGGGGACTCAGACTCATGAAGAAACACCTATGTGACAGTGACACCCAAGGCAGCCACAAGACCAGCAGAGTATCAAAAAGACTGAGCTCTGCAAGGTGATGAGATTCATCCCCCACACCTGTGCCAAGTGTTCAAGTTGTCCAAGCTCATCCAAAAGCCAATAATAAGTGAGAATCATTAAATGCTTTGTCTATGTGGGTGCAGATCTTGGCACCCACATATATTATCTTTATACCCTCAGCAAATCTAGGAAGTAGCCATTATGGTCCCAGCTGAGTAACCCAAGGTTCAGAGATATTAGATAACTTGCCCAATGTGGCACAGTGAGTAAATGAAGGAATACGGCCTTCACAACTTAAAAGTTCACGTGCTACAGCTCTGGATCCAAGATTTTCTGACTCCTGGTCTAGGGCAATTTGTACCACTTCTCACCTTGTTTTTAGTGAGGTTTTGAAAACCAAGTGGAAATATTAAATAAGATAATATACATGGAAGTGACTGTAAATGGTAAAGAATGTTAGAAACATTGGGTCTTGCTATTATTCTGTTCTTATTCAGAGTCACAGACTTTTATTTTGCCAATTTTGGATTAAAAATAAATAAATCACCATCAATTACTACTTTCATTTCATATAAGAAAAAGTATTCAAATGCTCAAATCTGTAGGCAGAACGTAAATGTGGAATAAAAAGCAATCTTCCCAATTGAGCACATTCAACACTATAGAAAAACACGTAACAGTGTTTCTATTTTTCTCACTGTCAGAAATGTTGGGTTTATAGTGGGAATCACTGATTTCAATGACCATTGCAGTTCCAGAATCCTTTCGTGCACCTACTGTTATTCTGTACTAAATAAAAATATCCTTAAGCAATTCCTACTAAAATCTATAACCATGGTGAAAAAAAAACTTTGCCTCTACTAAAACGCGCGTATTTTTCAGCCAGCTTCAGATGACATCAAACATCCGATCAATTCAATTGTGTCTGTGGAAAACAGAGCTGTGGTCAGACATCTTGGAGACAGCCCCACGGTGGGCAGGTGGCTGTTTCTCACTTTGCGGCTGCAGTGTGGTTTCCTCCTCTTAGAGGCCCAGAAGGAACGATCTGGGTTCTCTTCCTCTCTCACGTTCCTGACACTCTTGTATTAATCATGATTTTTATTATATGATGTTTTGACATCTTGGGGGTGCCTAGCTGGCCAGGGAGGGCCTGCCGCTTCCAGGGCATGCTAATTCCTGGAGACAATAAACATGGCCTTCACCTTTCATATGCAAACCAACCAATCCACCCCCTTTATCTAACTCTCACACACCAAACTGATTATTTCCCTGCCCTAAATTACCCTTGGGCCAGGTATCAGAAAACTAGAGACCACCCCTGCAGCCCAGCGGCTCAGACATCACTCAAACTAGCCAGTCCTAAGCGGTTTCCTATCCCTCAGAAAATATGAAAAAAGCTCATGCCTTCCCCACGTTCCTTCCGCCTCCTGATCAAACCTTGCGCTTCCTCTGTGGCCCTCTGTGATATGGCATGTCCCCTCCTCTTGGGAACTGTAAATAATAAATTCTTTTAATGGCATTAATCTCTCCACATTGTCACTCAGTTACCTCTATAAATTAAAACCCCAAGGTACATTTTAACTCAGCTTCTCCCCCTCCCTCTCCCCCCTTGCTAAGCTCAGTTCCTTACATTCTATGAGGACACAGAAAAGAGAAGTACCCCCTCTCTTCACTGCCCTTCCCCTTGCCCAGAGCACTTGTGGCCTGTGCCTTGGGGGTTCTCCTGACAGAGACACTCATGCCTCCCAGCCTGAGGGACTTTATCTATGAATTGCCACTCAATGTTAGACACATAGAACACGTTTCAGGAGGCCTGTGCACCTACTCAGGGCTGGAGCCAGGCCCTGGAAAGCTGGCATTGCAGGTACTCCTACTGTACCTGAAGGATGGAAGAGCTTAGAGGAATGCTTCGAAGAAGGCCTGCACCTGGGGAGGGGGTGGGCAGAGTGGGCTGAGTCCCACTCTGAGGAAAAACAGAGTTCGCCACCCAAAAAAATACCTATTAGGATAATGATTATTTCAAGTCAGTTATTTTAAAGAAACGAAAGACTCAGAAAGAGCATTCTACCTCCGCCTCACCTGCCTTAAGGAATTCAGATAGAAAAACCTGCTTAAAGGAAGAGAGCTATCACCTCTGCATAATATGAATTAAGTGCGGCAGACAGGGAGGAACCTAGCAAGTCTGTGAGACTCTTCCCTGTGGCCCATTGTTCTGGGTGGCCCAGCAAGAATTTGTTGACACCTTTGTTCCTTCTCATCCACCTGTGAATTACCTACCTTCCCTTTGAAGTCCCAGACCCCTGCTTCCCTGTCCTTAGTCCAAAATGGCTCATATTCTTAGGGAACCCCAATATGTACATATGAAATAAATGTGGTCATTTTCCCCCTTATTCTGTCCCATGTGAATTTGATTATTAGTCCATCTAGAAGAACTTAGAGGGGTAAAGGGCAATTATTTTTCTTCTCCTACACCCCCAAAGCTGCAACAACATTATCAAAATAGCAAGAGAGAGAAGTAAGGGAAGTAAAGGAAGTTCTGAACAGATATTCCACCCACCCCCACCCCCTGCCAAACACTCACATAGACTCCTCTCCCTGTCCCCAGCCTCATGAGAAACTCAGTACTGCCCAAAGCAAAAACATTTGGCTCAGACATTGCCCACCTTGTCCACCCCAAACCTCCAGGAAGTGTCCTGAGGTAACTATGTCAGCAAATTGATATCTTTAACCAAGTCTTTCCTGAGTCCGATCCTGTGCTCATATCCCTGAGAAAACACAGGCAGAAGGAAACCTGGAGAAGTCATATGATATGAAGGATGACAAAGCCTTTGGAAGACCCTGGGCCCTGCAGGCATGGCCTCTGAGTGATGGGAATGTAAGGATTATAAACCTGGCATAAGCCTTGAACGCAGGGACTCTGACCTCAGTCACCGTATCACCACCTGGGTTCCTGAAAATTGTGTCACCAAAAATGGTCTCAAAGGCTCAGGAGGGTTTGTTCCCCATTCTTGTCCTCTTTCTCTCTTCCTATATGCCAATGACACACAAGGCTTTCCATGGTCCCATCTGGGCTGCGCTTGGCTCAGCCTCCCAGCCCACTAGCTACAGGCCCTCACTCTGGCTCTGATGCCTAAGCTGCCCAGTGTATGAAAACTCAGGAGCCAAGGGCTCAGCTCATGGAACAGAAAGTAGCCCCAGGCCCCTAATCCTGCCTGCAGGCATGGTGGTGGTAAAGATCCTACCACCCTCTGAGTTCTGAGTGGACCAGAGGAGCCCCAGGTCCACAGAGCTTGGACTCATCCGAGAGGAAGAAAAGACTGTTCAAGGGGCAGGCGTAACTCACGCTGCTTCTCCTGGAGGATGCTGGATGTGCATGGCATGCTCCCTTCTCCTGCAGAAAAAGAAAGAAGAGTGAGCACACTCCCCTATCTCTGTTGGCCAGACATTGAGAAGCCACTTGCGACTGCTTCTGCCCCTCCTCTCAATGGCCCCCACCTCAAGCTGGGGGTGGGCAGAAGTCTCTCCCATCTCCTTGTGCCCTGTCACATTTATATGTTGGTCCTTTGTGCAAGACAAAGCATGGAGCCATGTTGCCATTGCCTTGGGAGGTGTGGCCTGGCCATCTTTCACCTTGGCTTTCTTCCCTGACACTTCCTATCCCGCCTTCATACAGCAGCTGCTTACCTGGTGCTGCCCTCTATACACTTATTACTCTGATAGTATTGAGCATCACATCCATGCCAACAACTGCCGAATCTCTGTCTCCAGTCTAGCTCTCTCTTCTAAGTTCTTGACCCAAATCTTCTGCTGCCTCCTGGACATTAGCTCTGATGTTCCCCAGGTAGCCTATGAGGAGCCCACTGGGAGCCCAGTCAGTCAGCAACTCTGCTCACCGTGACCACCAGGAGGGTCCTGGAGCTGCCCCTCTTCCCAAGTCCCCATCTCAGAGAAAGTACCACCTTCTCCACAAGCCTAGGAGTCATCCATGATCCTTGTCCCTCTCTCATCCCCACATTCAATCAGTCACAGAGTGCTATGGGGTCTGCCTCCTTATCTCTTCACTACTTTCTCCCTTTCCACAAGATATAGAGTCCACAACCTAAGGTATTTATTTCTATGTTGTTCACTGGTGTGTCCCCAGGCCTAGAACAGTGCTTCTCAATCACTGTCTGTTGAATGAATAAATGAATGACATCTCTTACTCCAAATACACATGCATACATACTACTCAAGTATAGAACTTCATCCTACCTCTTTGGACTATCACAATAGCTTCTGCCTTTTAATGAGAAGCTTTGTATCTATAATTATGAAAGTAATTCGAGCTCCTTATTGAAAATTTAGAAAACATTAACAAACATAAAGAAAGAAAAAATTTCTTATAATCACATCACTGACAGAAAACTGCTGATCCTATTCTATGCCATTCTTTCCAGTCTTTATTACATACACATGAGATCAATTAGCTCTTTGTGGGCAAGAACTATGTTATTTATCTCTGTTTTCCCAATAAATAGAACAATGGCTGGTTCATGGAAGACATCACATACAATAAAGAAGCACAAAATACACTTTCCATACTTTAAATTGAAGTTCCCCAATAACATTAAAAACAAAACAAAAACAAAAAAAACCTCTGTTACTTGATTCCAACAGCTATATAATCTTCTATAGAGAGAATACATTATGGCTGACTAAAATTCTCCCGTTGGTGGAAAGTTTCGAAATGTCACCATTGTAATTACTGCTGCAACGAACATCTTTGGGTTGGTGCTCTTTCTGCATTTTCTATGATTTCCTTAAAATACAACCAAAGAAGGAGAATTCTGGGTTAAAGGGTAGGAACTTTTAAGGCTCCTGATGGTTTTGCCTGTTGGTTTTTCAGTGAGACGTACCTTCTGTTTTGCACACCCACCCTCAGCAGAAATAAATGCTGTTCTCAACAGATACTCACCTCCCTGGCATTTACATTGGTCTGTTGAATTTCTCTGCCTCTGTTTTCATCAGATTAAACTTTCTAAAGCTAGTGGGCCCAGGCCACTCCCTTGCTTAACACCCTTTAGTGGCTACCCATCATCAGATTCTGAGCCTGGCCCCTGCTCACCTCTATGGCCTTTTCCCATCCCTTTCTGCTCACCACCTACCAGCCAAATCCCTATTTCTGGATATGCACTCATGGCACCACTTGCACATCTCTACCTGTGCTTCCACCTTCTTCTGTCAAACCCACTCTATCTTGCAGGGTAGGTTGAGAACCAGCCCTGGGACCATCTCTTCCATAAGACTTCAATTCTTGCCCAGAAACCTCAATTTTCAGGACCTCTGTCTTCAAAGGTCGGCTCTGGGTCCTAAGGGCCAGCATAGGGTCATGTTCAGCAAAGACCAGTTTCCTTCTCTCTCAAATGCTCTCCTCAAGCCCACCCCACCTGACTAGAAGGCTCAGAAAGGGACATAAGCCAGAACCCCCAGGAGCTAGAAAGCTTCCTGTACCCACGGTGAGGCTAGAATCTGAGAAGTGGAGTGTCAGACCCCAGATCCCAGACCCAAGCCCTCTAGGAGCCCAGTCAGTCAGTAGTTCTGTCTGAGCCCCCAGGCTCTGCAGCTAAATAGAGCCTCTTGGCATCAGGCGTCCTAGCCCTATAGCTCTACTGCACCGTATGTTTTAGGTCTCCATTAGTCATATCTGTCCAAAGGAAGGTTGCACTCTATCATGCTAAAAGGCTCCCCTGCTCTGCCTTTTCTGCTTCCCAGGGCAAGGTGTCCCAGGCCTGGGGGATGCCACAAAAGAGGCTAGACTGGGGACCTGGGATATGATAAAACAATGTAGAGATTATGCCTCCAGCCTGAAAACCCTAGCTTTAGAATTTTCAGGCTGAATCTAGAGTCAGGATCCTACTGCCTGATAGGACCATCTCTTCTGAACTTGACCATGCTAGAAGATATCAGATCTGCCCTCCCAGCTTCCTGAGCAAGTCTGAATTCCCCCTAAAAATATGTCTGTAACTTCTCCAAGAACCCTAGTTCTCCAAGGAGGAAGCCAGGAATGAGTGTCATTGAGATGTTAGTGTGTAGGATTCCCATGGGGATCTCCATGAATAGAAGTAAGAATGTTTAGAATGAAGGTAACAGCCAGCCCACTTGTGTCCCTGGGCATATAGAAGCTTTATGGTTCGCCCAGTGCTTCTCACTCATTAGAGCGTTGCAACTGCACACCTGTGTGAAAAGCCCCATTCTCAGATAAGGAAACTGAGGCTCAGAGGATAAAGTCACTTAACCCAATGTTTAGATCTGGTCCCTTTTGATACTCCAACACTGCTGAGGGCCCTTCTCATGACCTCATGTCTGCCCGCTATGGAAGTAGGTGCTTTCTAGAGCAGGCGCTTCCGGGATGGCTCAGGAGGCAAAGGCAGTGCTTCCTAAAGTGAGGAGTCATTGAGGCAGATGAAAGCTATGACAATTCAGGGTCTAAGGAATAGGGAGTAGGGGCATTAAGAAGCGGGTATTTGCAAGGAGTGCTGGGGAGAAGCATCCAGAGGCTTTGGCTGACCCATGTTTCCTCAGGCTCAGTCTCTTCTGCAGTGAAGCCTGAGCCAAGCATCCAAGGGTGAGGCCACCAACCTGGGCAAGAAGGAGCTTGCTGGTTGACAAGATGAGTACGGAGCCAGTACAGCAGGAAGCTGTCCCTGCACTACTCAGCTCCAGCACCCGTCTTCATCTTCCCTCTAGCTATCATAGAATAAGCGGAGTCGGCTGTGAACCCCAGCTTCCTGATTAGCAGGCTCCCAGGATGATGGTGATTAACTACATGTGCAGCTGGCTCAGCCACTGCCTAAATGAGACCCCACTTGACCTGAAGCTTTCCAGGGCCCTTGGGCCCCACAGCCTTGCCTCAGCTGGAGCTTTCTTCATATGCAGAAGCTGCCAGGATGGCTACACAGAGAGGGCTGGGAACAAGGAGAGCAGGGCCTTGGTCACCTGTCCCGGTCTTGGCGCACTAATCCTGCCTGTCCCAAACTCCCACAGCCCCGCACATCTGAGCCACATCATCTCCTCCAATGATTTTCTGCGTGATTTTGTTTTCTCTTCTCAATCCCCTTCCAACAAACCAAGCTTCCAAGGAGCAAGAGAAGCGAAATGGGTAGCCAAGATCAAAAGTGCTTTCACCAAACACCTGAAACTAGAGCGTCTTCCTGCCTCTAAGGGGAGGGTTAGGTGGCTGCTGGGGGAGCAATTCAGACAGATGGGCCTTGGGGAAAAAAGAATTGGGAATTC